TCTGAGAAGAATTGTATTATATAATTAATTATGTTGTGCTAAAATAGTATGAGTTACATTAACTGAAAGTTTCAGGTGTTTATCTAATTTTTGAGACATTTTAAATTTTTTTTGTCGTTATTTATATAGAGAGTGTACCTTTGAAGGCATGTTGCCTTCAAGTATACAACGTACAGATCTGACACAAATAGCACTAAATGGCTGTACTGAATGTCACACCATGTATGTGTCACTGTGGTTTCCTTAAACACATTACTGATTTTAAGACTTGAGTGTTCATTTGCATCAGACTTTTACTTTGCCTGTAAAATTAATTACTGTCCTAATGATGAAAATAGAAATTTCTTTTATATATGGGAAAGTTTTTAATTAGTCCTGCATTGAAAGTCAAGGGTCATTTATCTTATGGAAGTTAATATTTTGAGGACAAGTTAATTGATTTTTTTTTTTCCTTTTCTGTATTTTGTTGTATCGATGCAACATTATTATAAATTTTTTTCATTGCAGGACCTTTGTAGTTACACAGCTGGCTATTACAAATAACAGCTGGCAGCTGATGGAGTAGTCCGTAACTTTCAAGGGAGAGGAAGAAAGTGGCATAAACAATATATTCTACTACTCATGCAAATAGCTTGTTTGTTAGGTTAAAAAATTGCAAAGATCCAGAACATTTGCATTTTATTAAATCCATTTTAAAGGAACAGTTTCTGTACCTGATAAGGCAGCCATAAGCCTGTTGCCTCAACTCTTCTCTCCTGCACAGTACAGTTAAAACATTGAAGTGCCTTCAAAAAACGTCCTTATGCAGTTTAATGGAAAAACAATAACTGGACTCTCCTATGAAGGGAAAGACATAAAACAAGCTCTCATGGGGTATGTTAGGGTAGAACTTGCACACTATTTTGCAAATGTCCACGCAGCCTCCAAAGCCCCCGTGAACATGATGTGACTGGAGGGAACTGCTGCACAGCCTGGCCCCAAGGGCCGGGCCCCGAGCCCCGTCCCAGAGAGCTGTGGGGTGTGGGCTGGTGCGGCTTCACCTTCAGTCTCAGACTGTTCTCTGAACTGCGAGCTGCCTGTTTGGATACACGGAACTCACTGGGGCAGGGGGGAAGGGAAAGAAAAGCAAGTTATTGTCTCTTTTTTAGTTGTTAGCAAGCACTCCTATCAAGTAGTTAGATAAACCCTTGTTACTGCAGGAATGCTTTCCTTTTACTGTTAGTTGTATCCATCTGGCTACACCACAAGTAAAGTTTTGGTGGCCACATTTGGCCCCCACAAGTTGACTTGTGTCTGGACACCAACTATATGAAAAATGTGTGTGGAAAGTGAAATTTAAATGAAGAAAATATATATTTTGTGTAAGTATATGCATAAACATGTATGAAAGATCATTTTTATTGAGCGGACTTGTAGAAGCTGCATAGGAAAAAAATGAAGATGGTGGAAACAATTAACAAAGTTAACTTTTGAATGAATCTTAATTTTTGCCATATACTTGGGTTATGTAGGAATTCCAGTCGTTGATTTTGAATCAATGTTTTTAGCATTGATTTGAGTGTAGTGGACAAAAATTTTGAACTATGAATAATTTAGTTTCTGTTGCCATCGGAGAATTAAAGTGCCTGTGCTGGATTCTGTGGACAAGTCAGTACACAATAATGAAAGGAAGTTAAATAATAAATAAAACATAAGTTGTACTTCAGTTACAAAATTCTTGTCTTTATGATGAGAATAGGATCTTCAGGCTATATTTAAAACTAGACCAGAATAGGCTTTTTTATCTCAATAGAAAATTTGGTTTTTTCTGCCAGTTGTTACCATTCAACACCATGGACTTCAGAGTGTTTTATCTTTTATTAAGAGAATATAATACAGGAATAAATTGGGGGAGATTAAAGAAAATTGCCCCTGAATACTCATGATTTCCTCTTTGACCCATTGGATATGGTAACAAAAGGCCCCAGATTAGAAGGTGCTTAAATTTCAGAGTTGCAAATGACACTGATCATAATTACTTTTTTTCAGTCCTAGTATAGTTTAATTTAAAAAGCTTAATTCCTAAGATATATTTAAATACTTTTGCATCTTGTTTGTAAGTTAGATGCTTCCAGTTCAAGCTTGTCTGTCAAATATTAATGTGTTCTAATGGAAAATGTTCACTCTAGAGACAGTCTTTTACTTTTAACGGTTTGGGGTTTTTTAATGTTGAGATTTTTCAATGATGCTCAAACTAAAGTTATTAGAAACAAGTGGGGTTTTTTTCACTGAAACTGGGAACATAACTGCTGAGTTGAGGCTGTCATATTTTCTAATTTCTGAGCATGTGTTAAAACAGTGTCAATTGTAACCACTTAATTATAACAAAGTTTATAATTTTTTTAAGCTCCCTGGTGTTGCATCTTTAACTTACAGCTACACTCACATGCTTCAGATCAGCCTTCTGTCTGAGAGTAACTCTGGCCTTAGGGATGCATCATGCTTTAAGGTCTGTGGAAATCCTGCTGTGATTTAAGATACGTTACTAACAAAATTGCTGTCTCTAGACAAACCTACTGTATCCAGTGAGATACTGGAAGTGAGAGACTCTACCTCTAAGCAGGCAGTCAATGTATTGTGAAGAACATTCAAAATTACAGTGATGCTTTGACTTACTCTGTCAAAATGTCTGAGTGCCTTTGGGCAGGGATTCATGAGATGGATAAACACAGCAAGTGGTTGGTACATGGCAGCACTACAGTTGTATGTACAGGCAGATGGTCTACGAGCCACAGTGCACATCTCTTTCAATGAGTTTTATTGCTGATGTGTAACATGTGTTGTATTGACTCTGTCTGGCCATTTGTCTTAAACAAAACAATTGCTTTATACCTTGTAGAAGCAATTGGAGACAATTTCCTTAGTGATTTCAACTCAAAATACAGAGCTGGGAAGAAGAGTATGTTAATGGTAAATATGAAAAGCAGTTGATTATAAAAAAATATGTAGAGGGAGAAAGCTGGAAGTCTTGTGGGTTGATGGCCTTTTAACTTAGTCCTTCTAAGTATCAATTAATTATTCACAAAGATGGGCTGTCCTACATTCATGACTTTGTTTTTTCAAATCTGGAATTGACTCATAATAGCCAAGCAAGTGTGAGTTTTGAATAGAAATTTGACAGATTTCCAAATTAATTTCCATTATCTGTGACCCACATGATGGTGCTATTCCCTGCTTTTGAATTACAGACTTAGACTTCAATAAGCTGCTCTTCTTTCAGAGCCATTTGATCACACACACACAAAAAGCGTGGTATTGCTAGTCAGTCCTTACCAGATCCCAGAAACACACTTTGATGTAGAGTTTCCATTAAAATGTTTTTCATTTGTGTCTGAGTATTGGCAGACTTGTAGTATAACAAGTTTTTCTATTCAGACAGGGTTCTGTTTAATGCTTTATTGTAGTAGCTGTCAGGTAATGATCTCTAGTACTTCACAGAGTGTCTCCTGCACAGTTGGGTTTTGTCATGTGTTACTCCTGGCTCAGTCCTTGTCAGCAATGTGACGTGACTTTGTCATAGCCATGAAGCAAAAGTGCTTTAGAGTCATGCTAATGGCACATTGCTGGAATGGCTGATTGATCTCTCAGAATCTTCAATAGCTGTGGTGAATCACCTGAAATGATGGTGGAGGCTTGTAAGTACTTTTTGTTAAGTGTACATCGTACATGTTACCAGATCTTCAGCTGAAATGCTTGCACAGAGTGAGAGGAATAGATTGCTCATAGCCATAGTCGGATTTGTAACTGTCAAAACAGAGCAAAAATGCATTGGTCTTCCTTTCAGGTGGGGACCTGTTGCAAGAATCTATTGATTGCACCTCGATCAGAGGCTTGTTGGCACCCTTGTAGCACATATGAAGTAATCTGTGCCTCTGTGTGTGTTTTTGTTGGAGAAGGGGAAAAAATTGCTGCCTGTATTTGCTGCCATATCCTCCTTCATTTCCATGTTCTGAAACAAGTGTTCAGGAGACTTTGTGATCCTTCATTAGTTCAACTCCATCATTCTAATAGAAGAGTAGTTACCAGTCATCCTGGTTATGATGATCTTAAAAATATACTTGTCAAATGTTTTTGTAAGGCAAGTAATTCACAGAAAGCTTGGGTCTTGAGTTGAAGCACTGAAACTATGTAAACATTTTGTGGTAGCCAGATGTCATTTAATAGCTTGATGATAATTGCTTGGTCTTCACATGAATTTCGCTTTTGTGGTTTTTTTCTTGAACATATAACATATGTGGAATAGCCAGCAAATACAAATTTTATCAATCAGATATAGTTTGACATTTTTAACACTTTTTAATCTTTACAAATACCTGTTTACCATATGGTGTAAGTGGGTGTGCAGGAAACGACACTTTCATCAACTCTGATATACTACTTTTCCATGAGCTGAGCATGAACATTTCCTTTTAACGGGTGTGCTGAAGGCGAGCCTTTGAAGAATGGGTGTATGATTTTGGACTGTAACATTTATATTTGTGTAATTCTGTAGGTGGTTATTTTAAAATCACTTCATCTTTTAGCTTTTCTTATTTTTATTTTACTTTATTCACAAAAGTCTGTTCCAGATGAATGTTGCAATATGTGAAAGAAGTAACAGAAAAGCAAAATTCATATTTTTCTTTTCATTGTTGCAGAAGCCAGTTGTTGTTTTTATTGTGGTCCAGAGTATCCCGTTTCCTGTTTATATTCTGTCTTTTGAAGATGCTGCAGTGTTTCAAGGGAATTCTATGATCTTTGAACTGAAATCCTGTGTATCATTAAATTGAATTAGTCATGATAGTTTCTTCAGACATAGGGTCATAGTAGCTTTCAGTGACTTGAAGATACTGATCCCAAATGCTGTTCTGGCTTGTTTGCATACAATTAAGGTTTAATTCAGTTAAACAGCCCCTCAATGCTCTGTTGTGCAGTATCTCAAATATACATTGGACCAGTGTTACTTAGAACATGTGACTTACCTCTTGATGCAAATAAGCAACTTGTGCTTGCTCCTCTTGCAGACAAAAGCTTCTGCTCCAACATCCACTTAAAAGTAGAAAAGTACTCAACAATAACTGCTTTTCAAATTACAAGTTAGACCAAAAGGACACAGTTTTCCAAGAGTGAAGTGTTTGCACATATATTCATAAATGTTTAACACATTGTCCCATCAAGACGCAACTTTTAACTAATTGCTAGAAACTTGTACGTGCCTCTCTGAAGTTACTTGTTGATTTAGTCTCTTGCTTATCAGATAATTAGTGACTTAATTAGTTTTTAAACAAAGCTCAAGTAAGGAAAAAAATTGATCCACAGCTAAAATGTCTTTTCTTTTTTTAACTTCCCTTTCTCAATATTTAATGCCTGGTAATTTCCCTAACAATATTAATACCTTTTTCTTTCTTTCTTGGTGTGAGCTATAGTAGCTATTCCTTAAACAGAGTGTCTTAAACAGAGTTTAACATTTAGGATATGTTTGTAATTCATGAAACTATGTAATACTACAAACTGCAGTACAAAAAAAATTGTGTGAGCTTCATTGTATAAAGATTTTAGTTTTAGAGTATTACTTAAAGCTGCACAAGTTTTCTCCTCTTTTTGAAAAATAATGTCCTTGTTAACATCCTCTTAAACCCATGGCAGGAGTAAGAAAATTCAGATAAAAATGCATGTAAATCTACATCATTGCCAAGAGAGTGGTTGACAATGCTGCAACTGCCTGGCACCAGCACTCAGGAAGTCATGACTGTTTCTGCCACCAGTCTTTTTTCATATACAGTCTACTTAATTCTAAGAAGGATGAATTGAAGACTAGCAATAATGCATCTCTGGGTGTTTCTCTCACTATCCTTGTCTCCAAACACTCTGAAATGGTTACTCTGATCCTCTATCAGCACTTCCTCTGCTCCCCCGCTGACAAAGCGTCATAATGCAAAAACCAACCTCCAGCCTGTGAGGAGGGGCTCTGTTCTGCCAGCTCTGTTCTAACTGCCCAACCTCTTAATTAAACTGCTTTAAGGTACAGAGTGTCAAAACTAAGAAATCAGGTTGCTCTGATTACTCACTCAAATTGTTCCTTGGTCTGAGAATTTAATTGATGTCTCGTGCCTGTGTGCATCAAGTAAAATAAGTAATAATCCAAAATGCCTCTACGGGAGGCTTCTCTGTGTTTGGAGAAATCTTGGCACAAAGCAAAATGGGTTTGCTACTCTTAAGTTGTGGTTTATGGCACACAGAGCAGGGGAAAATTGGCTGAGGAAGTCACCTTCTTGAAAGTCTTTATGAACTTTGACAGTGTGTGACTATAAATATTATTCTTGGTTCTTTTAAACAGAATTTTATGGTTCTTTTATATTTTAGTCATGCAAAGAAGTATACAGCTTTTACTGTATGATTGTTTAGGAGATTTTTGGTAACGAAGAAAATAATGACCGAGATCTTTCCTTTTTTATGTATAATTGTATAATGTTTTGCACTTTGTTCATTCTGAATTTTGTTTATCTACATTAAATAACAGCAGTATACACCAGTTAGAGACATACAAACTACTCACTCATTTTTTTCCAATTAGGGGTTTTTTTTCACTACATCTTAATTAAAAATCATATTTTGGTGTGGATCACATTTTATATAACACATACAGTCCATTATATTTTGTAATGAATCAAGTGTGACAGTATGCACTGCCTTTCTTCAATACCGTTGTTTGAACACACAAGCTTTGCTTGTTTTTTTACGTCAGACACTGAAAAATTGCTTTTCTGTATGAAATATGTTTGGTTTTTTTCCAGATTGTCACAAACTACTCCACTTTTCAAGAATACTCAAACAAGCCCAATGTACACACAGTTCCTGACCACGTTGCTGGAAGAACTGCATTTCAAAAATGAAGATTTGGAAAGTTTAACAAGAATATTTAGAATGGACTGACGACTTGAATGGTCAGTCAATTTTAAGCTACTTTGTGTGTCATAAAACCAAGGCAGTTAACACTGGTTTTTATTTTCAGCATTTTGTAAGTATGCACAGTAACTACAGATTGTATCAGCCAGAGTAGAAAATGTGTGAAGCACATTTTAAAGTAAAGAAATATATATAGTATGGAAATGAGTGTCATCATTTTGTCACTTACAGTAAATGCCAGCTGCTTACTTATCACATTAATCTTTTGATAATATGTAGTGGTTTACTGCAATTTTGAGAGGAATTTTTACTACCCCAATTTTTAAAAAAAAAATAAATTCTGTGTGGCTACAACAGCCAAGGCTCAGCAGGGTTTTTTTAATTATTACAATTAAATTGTTTTGTTCAGTCTTTGTGATATAAAATGGAGTCGAGAGATATGTATTTTTTTCTTAACGTTGAGACCACATTGCATTCTGGGAAGGCCAAAAAATTTAGAGCAAATACCTTATTTATTTTGATCATATTAAATTGATTCAATGAAAACAGAGTTATAATATTAATTAGTGTATTAACATTACTGATCTCAATCCTTTGTTCCCCACAGAATAACATGATCATCTTAACATCTCCTACCACCTGAAATAGTTGCACAGAGAATAAAAGAATACCTTCAATTGTTGGAACTTTTTTAAAATGAAAAATATAGTTTAGTATGAATTGTACTATCTGCACTTCTGCTTTTTCATTTCCTTGCTATGGGTAAGAATTTTGAAGTCTTGTGGGAAAGCTGCCTATAACAGCAGTTGTTCAAGGTATGCACGAAGACAAGTTACCATGTGGATCATCTGCAAACTGTGTGTTTAAAAGCAGTAGAAAGGAATTTGTTTTTTTCTTAGTTTGGAAACTTTCAGTTTGTCTACAGGAATTAGGGAAAGAGGGGGAGGGGAAGAATATTAGCCTGGAGTGTTAAGAACAGTGCTGCTGACATTTTTCCGGTTGCCCCAATGCATGGAGCAGTAACTGTAAGAATGACTGTGACAGTACACAAAGATGTCTGAGTTATAGCCTGTTTCTCTTGCTGCTTCTGACAAAAGGAGTGGTCTTTGAACTTATGTAAAAGTTATTTTTAAACAGACTCTGTTAATAATTTGGACTTTAACATATATTTTAATAACTAAAATTTTTGGCTTTCAGTAGTCATTTAATTTCAAAGAGACATGTTGTTTAGACTGAGTGTCTTTGGGCTTGCTTCTGGCACTAACTGATTATAAATTGCAATTTAAAACTAATCCACTAGTGATTCTTAATGATTCCATAATATGGTTTACTGCATCGTTCTCAGTTCATAGGACACTGTCCTCTGAGAGCCTTGAAGGTTGTAAGTGACAGTGCTTAGTCTGCAGCAAATGCCAGCACTAGGTAAGGCTGAAGCAAGACTTACCAGGGCTGCTGCGCAGCGACTCCATTTGAAAAAACAAAGTTTATTCCTTTGTTTTGTTTCTGTAATTGGACATCATAAGGGAACTCTCCACTTAATTAGTTTATTGATGTGTTGTTCCTTCATACGTTCAGAATAAACGCAAAGGCGGCCATGCAGCTTTTCCCTGGAAGCTTCATTGTGCAGTACACTTTATTTAGGAGATGCTTGACTTTTCCTAACTTACCTTGTAATGGGAAGTTATGTTCAGTATACATTGTAAAAGCAACAATTTAGAATGTGCATAACCTTTAATGCAGAGTTACAGCTACACATTTTTCTAAGTATGCAACAGGAAAAAATTGCCCATTGCAATCAGAGCATGTCTGATATAAAATTCGTAAGAGTTACTGGATAGAAGGTACATCAGCTTTGGGCCGTGATGGAAAAAGTTTACTTGATACATATGGAAAGAAGGGTCAAAACCTCACCAAAAGATAAACTTCTGTAGAAGACTGAGTAATAGGTATGATACTCTTAGCAGAACTTAAACCTTGATTTTTACATCTATTTGCTTCTGATTTTAGAAGTTAAATATATTTCTATTTTTAGCTAGAACTTCACTGTGGATGAGCAAGCCATTGTCCTGTTCCATGCACATTTACCTTGGGGCACAAAGATTACCTCACAACAGTTTTGTTATACTGACTGTACCTAGAAGGCATTACAAATATATCAGGAATATGACTGTGTTTTATTACGTTCGATGGCTCACACTTGGAAAGTTTTTACACTTCCTGTCAGTTTAGTGGTGTGATTTTTTTTATTTTTTTTTTTAGTTATTTTTAGGCTTGGTCTTCAGCACCTACTGTGTAGGAAATGTACGATCTTGTAATAAGAATGAATAGGTTGCAGGCTCAAAGACCTCTTTATCAGGGTTCAGTGTAGCTGCTTTTACTGTCTTTCTCAGCAGCTCAAAAAAGTAAGCTTTCAGAATTTTTGTCTCTCTCCTTCAGCTCCTGTGTGGTAAGCTCCCCCATTCTTTTCCTTGCCCTAAGAGAACAGAATAACCTTTATCCTTCCATGAGGCCAGAAAAAAGACTTCTGTAGAATGCTGGAAATGCCCTGAAGAAATATTCCTCACTTACCTTTAATGATTTTATCTCCCTTAGACGTGAGTAACACACATATAAATAAATGGAGACAGTATGCATATATATACCCATTACGAGGGAGAAAGGCTGTAGACTCATCTGAAAAGGATCTTTCATACTGTCAGCCTTAACGGTATGTAAAGATGACAACTGAAGTACCAAAAATTAAGTTAATTTATGTAATTTTCTTATTAGCATGTTTTGTAACAGCTTAACTGCATAGAAATGTTCAAATCCAGACATCATTTTTGGCTTAAAGCTAATTTCTGTCACAACTATCTGTCCTTTAAGAGATGTCACTCTTTCTTAATTCGGTTTTGGTGTCGCTCCCCCACTTCTCATTCTGCTTCTGTTTGCAGGCAGATTGTTGCCTTGTGGCCTTGTTGCTGTGCTTACTGTCTTTCCTTCTCTGTGAGCTGAGCGGATGAGGGCAGATGACACTCAGGTCAGTGGTGGTTTCAGCCTTATCTCATACACACTAAATTTTTGTGACTGACTTGTGAGCTGCTGAGACCGACTTGTGTAGGGACATTATGGATCTGGGCCTTAGGGCAGATGGGGCATAAGTAGGGCAAATAAAGTGTGATATTTCTTTAATAGGGGAAAACCAGACTTCTACAGTGATTTTTTTTTTCTGATGTATATAATGGATTAAGTAAAGAACAGAAGAACAGTTTAGTTTAAAGCTTGAAGCAGAGCCTGCTTCATGCTGTTGCAGCTTCTCTACATCAAAGGAGGAATGTGTGACACAAACCCTGCCCAGCACAGGTATGGATTTCTTACCAAGTTTTCTGTAGTAATGAAGTAATCTCAGAAAGAGAACAACCACGTATACTGAGAAAGTCACATTTTTTCAGTGTTATTCAAAGCAGTCTTTATGCTGGCCAAAGAGGCTGGCAAAAAGGCATGTGTCTATTTTCACACCAAAGTTCAGTTCACAGTCCTGTAAATACTCTCAGTATAAGCACTGCCCTCTGTAATACTAAACTTCCTAGTGCAGAACCCTTCACTACTGCTGTTTTGGTTCTTTGTGCCCATTGACCACGCTTGCTGATTTTTATTGGAGAGCAGAGGATTCAAAGTGGTCCATTTGATAGTCACCATTTCGGGAAAGTAGGAAAGTCGTAAGGTAACCTGTAAATTATCAGAGATTATGCTGCATCTGTCTAAAGTTGGCAAATGTTATGCTTATATATGGTAATACAAAATTCTACATTAAAACCAGAAGAGAGCTTGATTTATTTCATTGAAGACTATCAAAACAAAAATGTGCCTTAGTAAATCTAGAGCAGCATAACTGACAGGGCTGTGCTGCTGTCTAAACCCGGGACTGGAAAGTTAGATCTACCCTGTCTTTTAAAGAGTGATGCAGGGAGCGACAAGGAGCATGGTACATGTATGAGATACATCTGGGGCCTCAAAGGCTTTGTCCACACTACACATAGAAGAGTCACCTGTATTTTCACTCTTCAGTCTCAGTGAGTAGCTTAAAAGTGAGACATCTGTTGTGGTTTTAGGGAGAAATAACGGTTCTGTGAACCTTGATGTTCCATGTAATACCCTTCTTCCCCTAATTTGAGAGAACCTGGACTCTACAAAATGCAAGAGGGAATGAACAGCTCAGCTGGACATGAAGTCTGAACTGACCTTTTAACTGCTGGAGAAAAAAAAGGACTAACACATCAGAGAGAAGAAAAAGGAAGAGAGAAGGGGAAAGCAGTATTCACACCTTCTAAATTTAGGCATCCAACCTTAGGTACCTGCCTGTCTTAATTTACTTCAGAGAGAACCAATGCTCTTAAATTTAGGGTCTACAAGTCTTACCTTAGTGCAGGGTATGAAGTGGGTGGTGGTAATACCTCTGTCCCTTAGTCCCTAGTGGGGGAAAGAAAGCAGAAAAGTCAACTCAGAGTGTCGACCATAGTAGACTGGTTCTCCTTGGAATAATTTGTAATAGTTTATGAAACTTAGACCCTAAGTTTCTAAGCAATCTGATCCTATTGTTCACTTTGATGGCTACTATTTCTACTAGAATTTTTCTTAACCAGTAAGAGTTAAAACCAAAAGAATTAAATTGAGTGGCACTGTTTAGGGGAAAAAATAATGCCCATATGTTGAAATTACATCCAGGAGGTTACATTCAAGTTCTACAATTTGCCTCTAAGCTTTCCATACTTACTGTTTATTTTTGCAATTGCGTACGAACACACAGTGCTGTGGGTGGGGTTTAGATTGATCTGACTGGGGCAGCAGGTAATGCTGAACTGTCATTTCCAGTGAGCATTAAATATTGAAAACACAGAATCAGCTTCTCTTTTTGGCAAGTCCTAAGTTTCCATTAGCAGCAGATGGTATACAAGGCAGGGTTAGGCATCTACCTATAAAGACCTCTTGTTTCTCAACTGCACATCTCTACCACCTGACAGCCAGTCGTGCTGTGATTAGAGTCAGAGGAAGTGGGTGTGCCTTCCATTAGCAAAGGCAGAAAGTAATATTGCTGAACACTTTTCCTCTTGAGAGCTTTCTTTTTGTGACTATTCATCTTAGAAGCACTTCTCTGCACAGAGCGTGGAATGCTTTGGGAGATGCTTGAAAGATGCTGTGGAACATGAACTGTGGCATTTGTGGTGCTAAACAGGATTTGGTGAGGTGGGGGCAGGGAGGAGCTGGAAACCCATATCTTCAGGCAGCACTCATTTGAACACTGGTTTAAAAAAGCAAGTGAAAGCAGATCAGCCACTGAGGCAATGTAAGGACATGTGTGATTAAATGTTAGTCATTCCCCCTTAGTTGCTTGCAGCTGTAGACTAGAGCAAGGTGCAAGCTGGAGTTCTAAAAAAAATATACTGACTTTGCTACCAGAACTGAATGTGTAAAGTCCTAGACTTAGGAAGGCTAATCAATCAGAACAGTGCAGTGGCCCCTGTACACTGCAGATGTCCTCCTGTTTGTTGGCTTTACTGTGCTATCCTGCAGTTACCCCAAGACAAGAGCTCTAAGGAGGCCCTCTCCAAGAACAGGCTAGAGCTGACACAGAGGTGATCCCAAGGCAGTTTCCTCTTGCCACTCTGCAGAATCCCACCTTGGAAGGCCCCAGGATGATTTGGTAGCCTGTACTTTAAAGCAAAGTCTTCAGTACGTTTTTGCACGCTGTGATTACCTGTGGGAGCTGCTTGCAAAGATCAGAGCGCAGAGCCAGTGGGGCTACTGACTGCTACATCCTGCACCACTGCCAGCCAGATCAATGCCATCTCTGGCAATTTTGAGCCTCTTAAATTTCATGGTGTATGTAACTGCACTGAACACTTAGTGGGACAGCAGCAGCTTCCTGGGAGTCCTACAATTTGGTTAGAATTAGTCATCACTACAGAGAGTTTGAAGGACTTTGGATTCTGCTTTAATAAGCAGCAAACATTTAGATCAGGATTTACATCATAAATCTTGCTTTTTTGTTCTACTCAAACAGGAGTGTCTACAAATCAGGTTAATATAATTTAACAGTACAGTAGTTAAGTAACAAAAAGGATCATAATTGGTAGTATTATCTAAGAAGCCAGAACAACCCTGCTTACAGCTGTCAGCTAAGATCTGACTCATCTAAGGTATTTTATAGCAACCATATGTTAGGCACGTCTATCTCACCTATTATGCAAAAAAATGATAACGTTTCCTAATCAGGATTTGCCACTGAGCAGGATTTTCCATAAACATCTCAGTATTGCAAGTGCTATCCACAGTCAGGGGAAAACCTTTTGCAGACACTTCTGATTTGTTAATTTAATAAATAGAATAAATGCTTACAAATCTGTGGCTAGTACTGATTCAGCAAGGCTGGCTGTAGTTCGAGTTACAGGTGCGTTACTTTGGCAGTTGAAATGTTAAAATGTCACTTTAGCACAGAATTCCTGAAGGTGACTACTAGCTTTTTTGCACTTCTTATGCAAGAAGTGCAAACTCCTGGGTGTTTCAAATTGAAGACATGGTCTCAAAGCATGTGATACATGAGAAATACTTCACTGAGACCAATATTAAATTGGTATAGTATCTTTACCTGCATAGACAGAAGAGGGAGGGTGATTTCATATCAGTATACGAGAGCAAGATTAAAAAATGTTTGAAAATATTACAGTCTTTTGATAACAATGCAGGTGGTTAAACTAGAATAGTAATTGCACTTTAACAAAGGCATACACTGTTGCAAACCCCACTGGCTGTTGATTTTTGGGCAAGTTTTAGATCCAGTTCACTTTTACACAGAAACCTGCCTAAGCCTACACCCCTCTGCAGTCTGACTACTTCTTGCACAAAGATTGGTTATATGTCCATCAGCCTTAACTATTCCCAAGTGATCTTAAGGAATAATATGGGGGATGAAGCTGCTGTCCCAACACTTCCCTCTGTTCTCAAAAGGGCAGTAGTTTTACTGCTTAGAAACTCTGATTGACTTAAAAGCTTTTTTGAATACATTCTTCTTTTTCTGAACTGTGGGCTGTCACTAAATTAAAAAAAAAAAGCAAAGTAGGTATTTTTGCTGCTTAAGATCTTTGGCTTGTTATAAAATTTCACAACTAGAAATGTAGTTAAAGTGTTTCCTTATTAAGATAATTTTTCCAGAGAGTTTTCGAAAATAAGTAATTTTACATTAGCCCTCTACAGCTCTAGGTCAAAAACATGTCATCTCTGCTAACTAGTCATTTCTAAGATCCTCCCAAGCTCTGCTCTTTTGTTCACTGAACATCTGATGCTTCTTGTTATTCTTCTATAACCACAGATGTGCCCTCTTCAAAAAACTCACAATCTCACAACGCTAAACTGACAAGTTGAGTGTCAAACCACACACCCCAAGCAGCAGAAGAAAAACAGAATCCCGCTTGAAGGAAAACAAATCACACAAATTGTTTCCAAAGAATGAATCTGAAACATTTCAAACTGTGCCCAGGCATTGTTTCCTAAGAATGCAAATGCCATTTTTATGCTCACTTACTGTATAATCAGAGGCTGCTCTCAGAAGGAAGAGATAATTTTGAACAACTTTTTATTTCCTTGTTAGGGTGAGTTTTATCTCTTTGAACTGAACTGGAGCCTTGCTATGGGACCAGGATGGGTCTCCTTTTTGCCGAAAAGCAGCAGGGCCGTTGCTGTGCTGGCTGAGTTACACAGCAGGGTAGGTGAGGCCGCTTCCCCGGGAACGTGCAGTTTGTGTGCCACGGAGCCGCTGTGCACCGGAGCCCCGGGTGGTGCTGGCTGAGAGCAGCCGAGAGCTGGACGGGACTGAGCAGAGCTCCCTCTGCCTGAGCAGCCACCTCTCTGCTCTAGCGGGTCCCTGGTGACAGAAGGTTCTTTGGGCAGAGTGAAGAGATTTGTCGGGTCTCTGCAGCCAGGCTATAGCAGGACCCATAGCCCTTTCAGCTGTAGTGCCTCTCTGCAAGCCATCCCTCCTCCCACTGCAAGGGCTGATGTGGGAAAAGATTGCAATGCTGTAGTGCTAAGGTGCCAAATATGTATGATTTGGCTTGGCAATAATTCTATAACTTACCTGAAAGGCCTTATGATACTATCCTGCAAAGAATGACATGTAAAGGCAGTAGGAGGGGTCATTACCATGCTGAAAAAATACTCAAGACCAGCTAGCTGGTTTCCTAATTAAACTATCAAGCACAGTTCACACTTTATGCTGTCTCCTTCTCTCTATGGTTCAAAATTTGTCACAGCATTAAAAAACCCCAGTTAAAATATAAAAAGCATGGCTACAAATGTGTATCTAGCTGCCTTGAAGGCTCTCTGTCAATATGTAACTGTAAGATAGTGCTGTTGTTTAGGCTTCACTGAAAAACTTTTTTTTAATCTGATGATTCAAAGGTGAAACATTGACCTTCAGTTTTGGTACTTGACTGATGATCTTCTGTAAAGATCTGTGTAGGAGTAATGCTGAATTCTGGGTTACATCATTTATATATCAAGAATTTGAGTCAAAAGTTGGATTTCTCTTTTTCCTAGTTCATTTCTATCTGATGGCCTTGAATATAAGAGATGATGCCTGAAGCAAAGCTGATAAAGTCACCAGTGCAAAGAAGCAGGGGGTGGGAGGGACACAACAGCATAGATACATATCTTCACATCCTTATTTCCTTTACAAAGGGAGGAAGGAAGTTCCCTGCAGGTTAGCCAGAGAGTATCCGCTCTTACAGTCTAAGAGGTAGCAAAGTACAATTTCCAGGAGCTGCAGGCTTTCAAAAATATTGAATTCAGTATTTCACAGATAATACTCCATAAAGTGCTTTCTATACCTAGGGCTCCTGAAAAACTTCTACTAAAAATTCACAACTGAGTGTACAGCCAGAGTTACAGACACTCACCCCACCATTTCATATCTCTACTCCGTTTCTGTCCCATCTTCCAAATCCTTGTTCTTCCCATCCCTGTGCCCTTTCCACTCTACCCCTTCCCTAACTCCAACAGCTAGCACTCATCTTCCTACCTGCTCCCTGTGTGCCCTTATAAAGATCCCACCCAACAGTCAGCTTCCACAGCAGCAGAGACCCCTGGGCTTCCCACCCCTCCCGCTGGCTCCCTGAACCACAGGAAGGGTCAGCACTGCCCAGTGAGGGCCTTGAGTCTCCTATCCTCCTGTCCACATAGGGAGCTGCTGCAGGGAACCTGCTGCAGGGTTCATTTTTTCAGCACAGGATGGCAAACGGGCCATCTCTGCCCTTGCTCCTCAAAAGTGGCTCACACGTGTCCTTGGTTTGGTGCCCATGAACACAGGTGACCTCTCTACAGCTGGGATGGCACTGCCCCGGGGCCAAGTGGATTGTGCAGGCAAAAGTACTCATATAAGGATTCTTAAAACAGCATCTTTAGGTTATTATGAAGGTTGTCTCTAAAACAGATATGACTCACCCAACAGCTACAGCAGTGCTCCTGCGCAGAGATGAATAAGAATTTTTATGCAACTTCTTTAATCAGAAGAGGCCTGCTTGGTTGAAAATGAAACCTTTGCAGGAAAATGTTGGTTTTGATTAATTTCTCAACTTGAAAAAGTGTCCAAATTGTCAGTGTGTATCACTTCAGCATTTCTAAACACACAGAAAGGGGGAAAAAGAAAAAATTAAGAAAATTAAGTTTCAAGTCACTTTTCATTTTAAGATGGGTTAAATTTCATTATATGATCAACTGGAGTCCAGCCATTTTAACACACTTTACACCATGAGTTTTTTATTTGCAAAAATTTACATTTTCACTTGTCTTCCCAAATTGTTTGTTGTAGATTACACTATGTAAATACTCAAATGTATTTTTCCTTAGTAGAAGTACAGTATTTATTTTTAAAACTAATTTGAGGAGGAGCCATAACAGCTTTGTTCGGAATTTCCTGCTATGTTATAGTAGCCCTTGTATCTCTATAGACTGTTACCTATCAAAGCCATTACTTTTCATAATGCAACCTCAGGGAAGATTTTATTGCTGAAAAAAAAATATCCATTCCTACTTTTAACTAACTGTTGTAAGAAATTGTTTAGTTTCAGAACTTTGACCAGGATTACAAATTCACCACTGAAAATGGATCAAACTAATCAGTGGTTTCAGAGGATCATGCTTATTTTTATTTGCTGACTTTTTGACTGAGCTAATAGTCTTCTTATGGCATATTTACATTTATTGAGGTGAGCTCTTTACCTGTTGAGGACACCTTTAAGATGATTATCAATTAGCCATTTGATCATCAATTTCAAAGCATTTTCCAAAGATACTAAAGCCCTTCTCACAGAAAAAGAAAGTGAAAGGGGAGTGGCGTGACTCATCTGGGCACATGGACTATATCAGATGCAGAGCCAGAAATAAACTGAGCTTCTGGTACCCACACTCGTGGCCAGGGCACTAACATGGCTTTTACCAAAACTGATAGCAGGCATCCCACCATTTTGCAAAGGAACATCCCTTTCTGGTGGAACATGCATTTGCAATTCAAAATATATTTGCTTGGGTTTTGGCAATACATACTGTAATGCCTCCCTTACTCTTTTGCCTAATCCTACCCAGAGCAGGAAGAAAAATAAAAATGCATTGAGCATATTTTTCTGTATCGGTTGCTTTGGCTTGATGTTGCTGATACTGTAAACTTGGCTCCACTACAAGCAGAAATGTTACAGTTGAACTCAGTGAGATTTTCATAAGTAATCACGACCAGATTTGGGTCATATCTGTAGATGTACTCACTGCAACCTTTAGACTCAATTTTGAATGTGGTTAAGTGTGTTGAGGCCAAGCATTGTAAAATAAAGAGACTAAAAGCAGACCGTTTGCTCTGGCCTCAAGTGTGAATGCTGAGCTCTTTGAGGAATCTGAGCCACTTCATCTATCTTCTTGTCCCTTTATAACCGGCCTGCCCGTTGAAGAAGACAAGATGAGGCTACAGATGTAAGGGCAGCTGATGGTTGGGACAGAGCTACATGGGAGATGTTTGGAGAGCACAAGACAGGAGCACTGTGGGGATGGAGGTTTTGATATCCTCTAGCTCAGTGCTGCTCATTAAGGCCATCAACAGTAAACTCATGGGGTTAGGCCATGGGCTTTAAACTGCCCTTAGGGAGAAGATAATGTAGCCAGTCTGGTAAAATGGCTATATCAGAAAGAAAGCAGGATGGACTAGAGCAATTGATAATACTTTATAAGAGTCTGGCAAAACCAGAGTATGTTTCAAAGCAGCAATGAACTTCAGGTAAAAGATGAAAGAGGGTATGAGAGACAGTCCAAGGAAGCCTAAGCCAAGTGTTTAACTACTACTACAACAACCCAGTAGTTCTGGGTTACTTTGGGATGATTAAGGAAGAAAAAAGTGCTTGGGGTTTGGGCATGGGTGGGAGCTGTTGTTACAAACTAGTAAGATTGCAAATCTTGGCTGACTCTGAGCAAAGATTGTAAGTATTAGTTCATAGTTCTAGATGGGTTGGTTTGGGGTGGTTGTTGGAGAGGTATGTTTTTTTTTTTTAAATCCAGGCCATCCATGTAGAGGCACTTTTTATTCAGTGAATTGCATCAGCACAACAGTCAAGGTACATACAGTATGTGGCAGCTTTTGCTGACCTTGCCAGTTTAGAGCCCATGACTAGCACTTGTTCAGAGAGGGGTAAGGAAGTGCCAGCACCAGGTGCCATGTGGAAACTTAAGCAGCACCAGCTTAGGAGGAGAGAAAACACAGCAGAGGTTTAGGGAAGAGAAGAAGAATGAGAACAAAGGTTTGACACAGAAGGGAGCAGCAGATGAGCTCACAGGAGGAGAAAGGGGTGCAGGGAAGAAGCTGTGATGCTAAAAATCTGTGACAGTAGAATGGGCAGAGAACATTAGAGGATGTGGAGCCATAGGGTAATAAGGAGAGTGGGTCAGTGTTACAGGGTGATCTGAATTGCATAGTCACAAAATGTGTTTTAATACAACCAGATGCAATAGAACCACCTGGGAGAAAAGAAAGCAAGCTCCTGGGATGAGAATCTGCCTCTGAAAGCAATGATGGATATAGGGTGTGAAGTCAGCCTAGACAGCTAAATGCTCAGCACAAAAGTGTAATTATCTTTTTAGCATCTGCATCTGTGTATCAGTGTTTTGTTGCATGTATTCCTGTACAGATGTTTCTTTAAGTACAGTACTAATTATAAACAGAAGAACCACCACAAAATCTGCACAGGCGTCACAGACTTGTGAAACCATTGCAGACCCAAACCATGGTGCAGATGGTGAAATGGTCTTGTGTGGGAGTTAACTATTTCCACATTAACGTTATTCAATCACAGTGGCCCATTTTCACATAGCTTGCTGAACTTCAGAAGGTTTGCACAAAGGTTAAGGTTTGACATTTTGAGACGGAGTATCTTAGTCCTCTATCCTCTAGTGAGAACTACAATAAATAATCAATAATAGAAGAGAAACACACACTCTTACTGCATCCCTTTCCAGGGTGGAAGCACTGAAAACATGCTTTTTTGACACAAATGCCTATTCTGAGGTTTTCATTACCAGGATTTCCAGTAAAATAGCCATAGGCAAGAAAGCACTTAATCTGACTGTTACATTAGGCTTCCTGAAACCACATGTAAGTGGAATTGTGAGTGCAGGCGTAAGAAAATGTCCTTAAACTTCTGATGGACAAACAGAATTACATTTCTATCAATATGTAAGGTTGCGATGAAGTTCTACATAAAGGGTAGCATTTAGTGTTTTAGGGGTTTTTTTTGTAACCAGTGTGATTTCTGTTAGTTTATGCAAAGCACGCCTCTAAGAATGAAACAGATTGAGACAGGGCATAACGTCTTGTCACAGCAGCATAATTCATGACTGCATTCAGAAATCACTTCTCTCTTTAGATTTAGGTATTAGTTCAGAGATTACTTCTAGAAAGCAGTATTATCTCTTAATCACTCTGTTCTACAGATCTCTAATTATATGTTTAGCTAATTTATTACTGCTGCACATCTGTTATTTCTGCAGTACTGGATAGATACAGCACAACATTTTCAGTGTTACTGCCATCACAGAGCACTGTATCTGTAGGGGTTTGCCCTTCTTGATCAGAACCCACCCCTCTCACCCTGGTACTTGCTGTTTTGAGGCTGTGAGAGGAGGAGGAGAACCCTGGAAGCAGCCTGCCTGCTCTCACTTTTGTCTCCTGGATGCAATGACCAACTTAAGGGAATTTAGCTGCAGAGTCCTTGAAAGTCTCCAACAAACATGTATGAATTGTGGGTTCACAGCTTGCAGTAGGAGTTGCAGGTTGGACAGAGGTAAAACTCCAATACTAAAACAAAGATCTTTGCTACAGGCTTGATCTCAATGTCCTGGAGCAATTAAAAGAGCAGCAGAGGTACCAAACTGTTACCCACCACCAACATGGCAGGATTCAAAAGTTCTCTGGTCTGTGTGCCAGTCTCAAGTCAGAAGCTGAAGCCACCTGCACACTGATTCCCTGGTCACTGAGAGTCACTGCTTTGCTCTACAAACCCAGCAATGTCATCCAGACAGCACTCACAGGCATGCAGGTACAAACATGATGTAGAGGGAATTGGCAGGGTCATTAAGGAAAGTCCCTACGCCCTTGTGTCCCCAGGTATAGGTCCCATTTCCCTGTCACACACCTTCAGGTAAAGAAACAAAGTGCCCATTTCAGAACAGCAGCTTGAGAGGGATGAACTCTTTCAGGTGCTTTTCCCCCCTTGGGACAAAGCAGTTCTGCAGGTACCCTGCAAATAGGAGTGTGGAGAGAGGGGAAGACTTCCCACCCAACGTACCACGAGAGGGAACTGCAGCTTCATAAAGAGGAGGGCACAGAGCCAGAGAGACATTTTCCCATTTTCAAAGATTGCTGAAACACAGTGGCTGCCTGTAAACCCAAGCAAACAGCAACATAACGGGTCAAGCACTGACATAAGAGAGTTCAACTTACTTTGGTAATCTGACAGTTACAGGCAAATGAGAACGGGGACCATAACAGCCACTCTTAAGCAACTTTTAAACACACAGTGTTTCCTATGGTCACAACACAGAGCAATCCCAGGAACAAGTCCTCTTAGCATATAATGACTGATAAGTCACCCAAAAGACAAAAACCCCAGCACTCTTTTTAAATGCAAAAAAAGATTAAAAAAAAAGGTAATTTGAAATAAATACCTTCTACGAAAGAGGAGAAGACTTGTCAAACTCTCCTGTGTGCATTCTGCTAATTGGACCAACCCACAACCCAAACCACAGAGCATTCAGGCAGGGTCTAATCCCACTGCAAGGAGGCCCCTGTCACACAGTAACCTCCCCCTCTCCATTAAGGTTGGGTTCTGACCAGGAATGGTTGCATCCTTCAGTCTGGTTTCTGGGGATTTACTGTTTTGTTACAGCATTGGATGTGCCACTTCCAGTTTAATGCACTGAATTTCAGGCTGCCCCCAATCATGTGCGCAGCTACTGAGCACAAGTTCTTTCCCCAGGAAGGTTTAAGAGTAGCCCTTAGTGTCATGTTAGTCCCCTGCCTTGAGGAAGAGCAGAGTGAAAAACAAATGCTGCCATAAGCACAAACCCAAAATGTGCTGA